AGTATATGAGGCTGTACGATCGATTTCGGGCCTTAAGCATTTCAAATCACTAAATTGTTAGAGCTTCCGGGCTTTGTCCTGTGGACCCCCCTCCCCCCACCACCTAAGAGTTTGAGACATCGCTTCTTCCTATCGTTGGCCAAGTGGTTTTTTTTATGGTTTACACAAGCAAAAAAATTAAAGATTAGCAATAAGCAAGAAATAGTGAAAAATTAAATGTCTTAATTATTTTGGTAAAATCATGTCAATCTTATGGTGAAAAATTGTAATAAATTTAGCGTCCTATTATTGTGCTGTAGTACAATTAATTAAAATTGAAAACAATTCTCAGTAGTTATTTTTATCTTTTGTGGGGTCATCCCACTTTTATTCATAATATTTCAATTGCCATCATACTATAACCTAACATTTAAGAAGGTAGCACATTTATATATAATACAAAGCACCGTATAATGCTTCAGTATAAAATAAATCAGCAAATGTCAAACAAGTTTGACAAATTAAGCACAATCTTGTAGGCAAAAATTGTTGTCAGTAGTTTGTGCGGACGCAACAAGAGGCTTTGGCCACAACATCTCAGAATTTTACCTTAGGTCTATAAAGTATAACAAGTTGCTTGAAACTCGAAGATTTTCTTTGGCCCGTGACCAAAACTCCAAATAATTTGGCCCTTCAAATAAATTAATTAAGAACCAGGGGTGTAGGTCTGTGATCAACCGCGACACAAACAAGGTACTAGCCGTAATGTATCTGCCTCTCCTTAAATTCCTAAATTCCTAAATTTATATTTGCTAATAAAATTTTATTTTCACCTTTTGGCAGGAATATTTTGCAAAATTCTCAAATAATATTTTATTTTTATCCTTTTTCAGCCCGTCGCTGAAGATTTTTCAAAAATTAGGTGCGCTAAACAAGGTATTAAAAAGGTGTTGCCTAAGTAGGCCTAAGTTTAACTATACAACACAAGTCCATCCATTGAAAAAAAAGAGTATACAGAGCACTACGGTATACCTCGGTTTCACACAATTCTGCTATACGTGCGTGTGATTGGGTGAATCACTTCATTGAAGGAAATTCATCGGTGGAAGATGTTGACAGGAGACAAACATGCTTAAACCTCCCATCACTTAAGATTTTATCAACATGTATCATTCTTATAATTGTGTCAAATACATCCTTCGGAAATAAAAAAGAATTGTCCCCATACGAGGGAACAAAAGTAAAGACGTGAAAATGTCCCCTTATTTATATGGGTTTTTAGCATGTTTTTATTAACATAAGAATCAGTTGCATTAAAATTCGAACTAATTTATAGCAATAATTTGCAATGCAAATACAATTCCTAAAAATATGAAATGAGCAGAAATGTAATTCAAACAACAGTAGTTTTTTTATGTTCTGTATTATTTCATGATGCAATGTTAAAGACCAATTTTTTTTTAATATTGAGCATTATATTTGGATGGATGTAGCATGAATAGAGAACGAATTACAATTGAGGGTACACGTTATGGCATAGATTAGAATCCTATAACAGTACACGAAAAAGAAAGAAAATAAATCCCTATGGTTAAGGGTAAAATTGTATACCCACGTCTACTCTAAGGATTCAGAGGAGAAAATTCTGATCTATTGCTGAAAAGGTGTCAAAATGTAAAGTTGAATGAATTTTTCTTATTTTTAAAATGATGTAGCTGTCCTGACACAATGAGAACAAATTAATTGTTCCCTTTAATAGGGGTTAATCAATCATTTGGCACACTCAGTATGTGTCTCCGTCATCTTATTAAATGAGAGTTGGCCGTAGTGTTAAAAGATAATTATATTGCCCCTCATTTCACGGTAAAGTATCCCCTTAATAGGTGTGTCCCAAAGGGGATTAATTTCGCCTATATTTACTATAATTATTTAAGTCCTTTGAAAATCTCAATTTATCAATCAAACCTACGTCATGAAGGCTGCTCCCGTATAGACCCTCCATCAGTGAAAGTGACTCTCTGGGACAAACTAATTAAAATTCATGGATTTGCCTCTGATATGACATCATTTATTTTGTCGTTAAAACACTTACAACATTTCGTCGTTAAAAATAAGGACAAACATGATTAAAAACGAATAAATCTTAAAGTCAACAATAGAAATGGCAATTTCAAGTAAAATCAGGGTGCACATTTTTTAATTTAGAAATTTTTATGCTCAAGTTATAAGTTTTTTTTTAAATGAGTATTGTCCAAGAAAGGCTTAATTAAAATCTATATATTTTTAAGTGAAATAAAACAATGATTTCACCAAGTACAGTAGGTGAAATATTTATGACGGCTATTTAAAATGATTTTTTGTTTTCTAAATGAAATTGAAATTCTTGGTTTTGATTTACTTTGTCCATGGAGTTAAAAATTATATATATTAATATATTTTAGGCCTGTTACATGAACTTCAAGTAAATATGGTTGTATACAACTGTAGTTTTTGTATTGTTAGTTTTCATTTTTAAATATTACAGGATGTACAGTATCCTTAGTTCCAAGTACATATTTATTATGAATTATTATTGTTACAATTTAAGTAAAAAAGGATGGTTTTTAAATGAAAAAAAAACCATTAAATGTAAAATCTTTTATATATATCATCAACAATAAACCACGGAATAGTAACGATAATGCAAAGTATACCAACCTTCCATTCCACTTTCCATTAAAAAAACATAAAAATATAAAAGCCGCCCGGTGAAATATTTCATTCAAATAACTTAAATTCTCAACTTATTAAGTTTCGCTCCTCAACATGCGCTCGTACCCTCAGATCAACGTCCGATTTGACTACTTTTAATAGTCCACCCTGCAGGGTAAAGTCATGTGGGGAGCGTTCATTTATGGTTGCTGCTCCTAAATTATGGAATACTCTTCGCTATCTATTCGTGAGTCGCCATCCGTCTCTTTGTTTAAATCTCATTTAAAAACTCACTTATTTCGTTCTCTTTGATTCTAGGCCATGGGGTGAAGCTCAAAAGACGTCTAGAAAACGAATTCTGTTCCGATTTTTTCATTATAAAAAATTTAGGCCTACAATAGTTAAGTAATATGTCTTGAAACAAATATAGAAAGTTCGACCAAAATATCTTCTGCAATTTTAATAAAATTACCGTTTTATTACGTTCCTAGGCTGCTGGTCGTCGGAAAACACACCGCGATACAGCGGTGTAGAAGCACGTCGCGATCATACCATGAGCTGTCCACTTGCGTCAACTCGCATGAAATCGCGTCATTTTAGGTCAAATCGTGTCAAGTAATGTCGGATTGCGTTAGTACACGTCAGTTCGCGTCAACTTACAGCACAATTATTAATGAGAAATTTCAACAAAAAAACTTATTTTATTATTGTAATTGCAATTATTTGATATTCTTTTCAAAACAATAATTGTGTAACAATTTAAAGAAAATGTATTAGTATTTTGACTTCTTTTGACTCCTGTGGTCTTCCTTTTGACTATGTGTCTGCATGTTCCCTGTATGTGTACACACTTCATTTTTTACAGTATTTTTGCATTCATATTCCTTTTTTAAAATTATTGTATTTATTTTACTTTCAAATTGTAATAAAGGATTAAATGTGGGGAAATTTAAACTTGATGCATTGTTATGATGTGCATGGATGTATATTTGTTTTGTATACTCCGGTTGACACATGTTGGGACACATTTTATTAAATAGAAATTGAAATTTAATACTGTAATATGAAAAATTCATACTTATTTCTCAAATATTCTGAGAGCTTATACAATATATAACTCTATATTTATGTACTGTACACGTGTTATACATCTTAATAAAAGCTTCTTGCGCTCTAGTGAGTCTGTTACTTTTTAAATTTTCTATATAATACTTAATAAATAAATACAGTGAAGCGTTTCACAGTCCTTTGTCATTGTGTGATTATTCTCATGGTTCTAAAGTTCTCAAGGGTTACACCGTTACATTATACGGTACTTTTTTAAACTTTTGTACATCATACATAATGAATAAAAATAGATAATGCCTTACATACTCCTGTGTCATTGTGTGCTTAGTCTCATGGTTCTAAGTTCTTACATTCTCATGGGTTACACCATTACCTTATAATTTTTAAAAATTTTCTATAATATACCTGTACAAAATGAATAAAAATAGATAATGCTTTACGTACTCCTGTGTCACTGTGTGTTAAATCTCATGGTTCCAAAGTTCTTACATTCTCATGGGCTACACCGTTACATCTGTCTCTTTTACATTATACTTTTTAAAGTTTTCTTTATTATACCTGTACAAAATAAATAAAAATAGATAATGCTTTACATACTCCTGTGTCACTGTGTGTTAAGTCTCATGGTTCTGAAGTTCTTACATATTCAAGGGTCACACGGTAATACGTTACCTTTTTTTAAATTTTCTATATTATACATAATAATGATGAAATAAGAAACACATCAAATCTTAATCAAACAAATCATCTATGTAAATTTCATCTAGGTATTCATCGTCTGCAAATTGAGCATCTTCATTCATGGTGTCTTTATCATCTCTGTTCTGACAGTTTGTACATTGACAAAGATCGGAGCATTTCATGTTCATTTTATTGCAATGACAACTGCCTTGATTGCACCCGGTCTTACAACCGCATTTGATGATCTCCATTAAACTATGCCTACTATATTATTTAAAATATACAATTTTAATTGATAAGATTAATTTTTACATGAACATAATAATTCATACTTAAACAATATATTAAATATTAATGTAAATATAATGACATTAACGAATAAATAACAATAATTAAACGTGTACATAGTATCTATCACTACTACAATAACAAAATTAACATTTTTCAATCTTATAATCAATTTTATATAGCCGGAGTTAGGCCTAGTTTCGACCTAGGCAAACCTTTACTAAAAAGGTACACTTTCTCCATCAAAAGGCTTTTTCTATGAATGCAATGACCTGTTCGAAGCACGAACTCCTGTAGACCAAACCCAGTACCGTTACGATTTCAATCGTACGGGAAATCCACTCACGAAGCTAAGTGGGGTAGGCCTAGCTAGGCCGGGGCCTGCACAGTCAGCACCATTTTTTTAAGGAATAGTTTTAATACATTGTACAATGTGTCTGGGTAAGGTACTGACGGGACTACACTACACTTGGTAATGATAACTTATCATTGCTTTCGACTTCGTGTCGATGTAACGACGATAGCAAACATCCTCGTAATCGTATGCCTTTCCCTCATCCATTCCAAGAGGCACATCCATTCCTAGCCTAGTTAAGACACAAGTTTGTCAGCTATAGTTCGGTTAAGACTGTCTAAAACTATCCATAATTTGTTACAAGTAACAATCTTCAAGAATCTGGTTGCTGTAACTAGAATTGGAGTTTCATTAGCAATTTCTTCGCGGTGAAAACAACACTTTGTATTACAACACCGGCACACTGTCCGTCGCTAGTCGCCATGTTGCTGTTTACTCTTGTTGTTTACTGTTGTTGGCTGTACCACAACACGTGAAGTTATTGTAACAAAATCAATTTAATAGTAGTCTAAAAAATATTATTCTGTAATTAAAATACACATTATATCTAATTATAATTTTAAAATTTGTTTTTAAAGCAGTAATACGAAGTTCGCAAATAATAAACTACGTATCAAAAATACAATATTCGAACGAGTACAATGACGTTTACAAAATGTCGTGTGCTAATCTAGCGCAAAGAACTTTCAATTTCGTAAGTTTAAACGTCATTTTCTCGTATTTGCAGAAGTTCTGACGGTCGAACCTTTTTTTGGTGCTTTTAAATATTATTATAATAATTATCATAATGAGTGAAAGTATTAGGAAAATTTCGGAACGGGACTGAACGTTAGGATTTTCACCCCATGGCCTATTTCCCTATTCTTTTGCATTGAAATTTTTTTAGTTCATTTAGGGTTTTGTTCAGATCATAATTTTTTTATGAATTTTGTATTTTTAACATTCTAGATATATTTCTTTTGTATAAAGGTTTGAAAAGAATACAGACAATGATATGTTTTATCCACTAGTTAACATTTTTTTATTCTTTATCATTAGATACATAAAATCTGTTATCCCATTTGTTCGGAATCATAATTTTTTTGAAAAGCTATATTTTTAAGATCATATTTGACTTTCTCTTGAGTAGAGTTTTAAAAGTAATCCAAACACATATATGTTTTAACGACTAATTAACGATTTTACCAAGCTTTAAACCTATACTACTTTCAGACAAAATTTGCCTATTAATAGATACATAAATTCTGGAGGCCCATCTGATCGGAATCATATTATTTTGGAAAAGCTATATTTTCAAGATCATATTTTACTTTCTCTTGAGTAGAGTTTTAAAAGTAATCCAAACACATATATGTTTTAACGACTAATTAACGATTTTACCAAGCTTTCAACCTATGCTATTTTCAGACAAAATCTGCCTATTCTTTATCATTGGATAAGGCCGGCCTACCATGGGCACGTCTCTGTTCGGAATCATAATTTTTTCGAAATATTATATTTTAAACAAATACAAATACTTATATATTATATTGATTAATTAAAAAAAATTTCAAAGCATCTTATACAAACTTCAGACAAAATGTGTCTATTCTTTATCATTAGATACGTACATATATTAATTCATAATTTTGTTTAGAATAAGAATTTGTTTTGTATATGATATTTTATTTTTTGAATTAAAAACTCAAAAAGTGTTTAAACTAGAATACAATAACATAGAATAATTATTTCGTTATCAATTACATGGTACAGTCTACAATGTAACGGAGTTACTATACAGTATCATGTAAGTATTGTGCAGTTGTTACTACATCAACAAAAACATCAAAACTCTGAGGGCGCCAGACTAGTATTTTTGGTTATAAGATGATCGTCGCTCGCCTTTACTGTGAAACCGAACCAATAGCTAGTAATTTAATGCAGGCCTATTTTATTTTTGTATGTTTCTTTACTCATGTATGCACCATGCATTTTGTATGAGTGTTACTGTATCAAAGTAGATCCAATAATTGATTGATGATTGATTGATTGATTGATTGACCGTGTTTTGACCCAAATTGAGTGGGGACATTAAGCCTACATTATTGATAGCCAGATCCATTCACTTCACATTTAATTTATAAAGGCATGGTAACAGAAATTAAATATTTCGTGGTTAACAATTACATAGTACGTCTGGTTTTAGATTGAAATTTACAAAACTTAAGGTACAGAAAATCATTTATTCCCGACTCCATTCGTATAACTTTGTAGAAAAACGTATCTGTCTACTTTAATTATTTATGTTAGGAAAATTTTAAATACAATATCAATCAATTCTTTTGATGTGCGATTATACATACTGGGGCGTATTTTTAAGTTCATAAAGAAATCTCCAGTTACTTTGTAAAAGATCAATCTCACATTAATTTAAATAAATTAATCCCCACAGTTTTGTAATATTAAAATAATTTTTAAATTGTTTTACATGTAATAATCATTTGATGAATATATATATTTTTGATATTAAATGATGGTTCCAGTTGGGGTCAGAGAGAGGCGGCCCGCCCTCCCAACCGACAGAGAATCAATACAATTCGTTTGGGAGGGAAAAAATAATCTATGTTCCTTTTACAGAATATGAGGCCGTGCGAACATTCGAAATCTCTACATTTTCAGGGCTTTAGGGCCCTGGGCGCCCCTGGTCCCCTTTAGAGGTTCCGTGACATCGCCCCTCCCCTGTCATCGGGCAGATCTTGGCTCCACCACTTTTGTTTTGTAATGATTTTTCATATATTATAACAAGTTGCTTACAACTTTGAGTTATCTTTTGGCCCGCAAGATCAACTGTAAAAATAATTTGGCCCTTCAAATAAATTAA